ACTACAGGTGTCTTGAAGCACTCTCGAATGAAAATCAGGATACTTAGATACAGCAGGATAGTGTGTGGGTTTGTATGGGAAATAATTTGTCAACATTAAAATAAATATAATGTTACTAAAACAAGAAGATAAAACTATGATTTACATCTATTTATGCATCATGCACATTTTGTGGGCTAGTCAGTATGATTTGTTGTTTGTTCGGACACATCTCGGTAATTAACTACTTTTTTAGGAGCATGAGTATCAGAATTCTGTAAGAAATGATGGATCAATGAATTAACACCTGTGATGACTCAGAGCACTTAATGATGGGACACATGTTATAAGGGGCAGAATAATAAAATCTCTTATTTCAATGTATGATGACTGGTATGTATATTGCAACTGAGTAAGTGAGTGCTTAATAGATGCATGGTAGATGTTCATTTGGCCTATTTCTAAAATAATAATTTAAATTTAAATATCCAGATGCAACTTTAATTTTGATATAAAAAGTAACATTTAAAATCAGTTGTTTTATTATTTTGAACGTTATTTCTTCTTAAACTATTTGTAAAGGCACGGATGTATACTTACTATATAGATCATTGGTAAAGGCCTGTCAAAGATGTCTGTGTGCTGCAAATGTTGGCGTATCACTAATTTTATTAAATTGAAGTCCATGGTAGTATTTGTTGAGATTTGAATGCTTGAATTGTTGTGGGAAATAACACAAAGGCTGATAAATAAAATGAGTTATTATTTCATCGATGCAATATGTTAGCCCAGACTGACAGAATGCCTCGCTGTTTTCTGACGTAGAAAATACCGTGGCAATATACCATTTTTCATGACGTTTTTCCCGCTATATTTCAAAGTGACAATTCGTCTTGCAGTTGAAGAATCAACAAATGTTGATATTATAAACTAATAATCACTACAAAATATGTGCTAGTTAAAAATATTCAGTTGTAAACGACCGTTTTTGAACGAAGGTGCAACAGGATAACTCTTTAGCTTGGCTCCGTCTCTACATGTCAGAAGTTGTCGCAGCGCGCATTGATCCGGGAACCAGACCGGAAGCGACAGTTTGGACCGTCGCTTATATCATTTCAAAAGGAGAGTTATTGCCCTTTGGAACAAAAAGATCGCCCATTATATTGAACTCTATAAACTCCACCCGTTAACGTTGAAAGGGGAAACAACTGCTGTGGTTGCAAAACATCTTGTTCGTGAGGTGTACGGTCCGTCCGGCAAAGGTTGATCGTTTCCTGCATTAAAATTGAGTATTGCTTTAGATCCAAATTATCTGAGTGTTTATTTTCTTAAAATATGAAAGTTAAGTCTCGATTATTTTAATATAACTATGAAATATGTTTTTGATCGATCGGCTCTAGATCAACACTTCGTTATAACGTGACATTTCTTATGTGGTTGACAGTTATTTTTAGAAAAAATACCAAACAATATGGTTTTGTTTCACTATTTCATCGGTATTTTTACATGAATTAATTAACTGTTTCATTAGCTTTGTTATTAGCCTTCAAAACGCCCAGTAAAGAATGTACCGGAGTTGCTCACCTGGTCCCGTAATATCGATGCGGTATCTCGCTTCGGTTACCGTCTTCTCATTCTGCAACTGAATCTGGTATATTGGGAAGCCGAAATTCTCTGATATATCTCCACATATCAAACCCCTTCTTCCCCCACATATTTTCTCTCATTCACCAACTTTCGGCAATGGAAACATTGTCACTACGGTAATGTTTTGCCAGCTGGGGATTTCCTGTACTGGACGACCTCGGGTATCCCCGATCCGAAAATAGTGCCGTCAATTATTTTTAGCCAGCCAATCAAAACGCGATGACACACTCTCCACTCTCGGCCAGCCAATCAGATTGGGTGAAAAAAAATAAACCACTGCGAATAAACCACTGCTGGCGATTGAAGATCAAGCCCTGTTATGGGAGAAGTAGAAACACATCCTTTATTTCAGTTATAGATCTAAATAATTGTGAAAAGCAATACCGTACAGACACAGTGTCATTTGTGCATAAATGTGAATTGCCGCACAGAAAGGCGTGTGAATATTTGACAAGTACAAAATAATAATAATAACTGAAGATGTTTCCAATTTATAGTGAAGAATTGAATGTGGGTTATTTATTTGGAATTAGAACATGGAAATATACAGAAGATCATATTCAATATGGTTCCCCAAAATAATATCATATTCCGCAAATATATCGCCATGCGTTTTAGAGCTAACCGAAAACATTACCGCAGTAAATGGGGTTTTACGAAATTGTGGACTGTTTATCCCAGTTCTGGTCGCTACACATGTCCTCCTTGCTAAGCTCCTTGCACGTATCTTGTTATGGAGCTTAGTCATTGCCCGGCCCACACTCCGTCGCAGTGGTGACTCAGCATAACACCACTGCCACAGGCTAATTTGCATATCACGTGACCGGACTTTTCTCTTGTTTGTAAACAAACGCGCTTTTTCAGAAATCAGTATAGAACGGACTAATGCAAGTATTGGGGGGCGCTTTACATATTGTTTTGCATAACTATATAGATATGCTACTACAACTGCGACAGTGAGTTGCATGACAATATATATTTATGCATCAAAGTGACCGTGTCGCTAGCTCTCCGTTGCGCTTCGATGACAGCACGTGGAGCCGTACAACCAATGTAAACATAGGATAACTACGCAAAAACAAGTAGATTTTTACGTATTTGCATACTTTCTCAATGAAAGTTAACCATTCTATGACATTTGCTTATGAAAATGTGTAGACTTGTCAAACATGAAACGGATGAAAAGCATATGCAATATCTTGAATGGACTGTGAAAGATGTGACGAATCGTCACATGGCGCTGGCCTGTGGCAGAGGTACTATGCTAGCTGGCTGCCGGCCGCATGGAACTCTGGGTAGGAGAGTGTGCCCGGCCTTTCAAGCTCCTCACAGCGATATCCCTTGTCACGCGCAGGGAAGGAGCTTGCTCCTTCAAGCTCCTTCCCAGCGCGTGACACCTTCGTTACACTTTCGGTAACATCACTGCCACCAGTGTGGGCGCGGCCATTACAAGAATCTTGAAATTTGCCCTCTAACCCCATATGTAGTAACGTTTATACTTTTGTTTATGTCTTTGGGAATGCCATCATATTTCATTTTGCCTACCTTTAGAATACAGTACCACAAACTTTTCAAACTCGTGACAATACCCTATGACGTAATTTGTGGTGTTTTGTTGCCATTCGTGACCAACTCGTGTTATTCCGGGACAAGCCGAATAGCGACTCGTGCCCCTCATTCGTCACCACTCGCCCCTTTCCGTAACCTGCAAGAAGATCGCTATTCGGCTTGTCCCGGAATAACACGAGTTGGTCACGAATGTCGTGCCCCTCTCGTGGCCATTTTTGCGACTGGGTTCCGTCTAAGCGCAAACGGGCATAACTAAATAAATTGTCAACTCGTTGCGTAATGATTCACGCAAATTTCCAATATGTCATATATATTCCAGATGCTATTTAAGACACATCAGGACTTAAGGTATTATACGGTATGATTGAACACATTTAACTGTGTCTTGGGTATAATTTTAGATGCAAGACATATGTAAAATCAAAAATCATATCTGAGGGATTCTTTGAAGAAGAACCTGAAATCATACGCGCATTCTGATTGGTTTGTCTTATTTTCGCACATAACATTCGTCCATGTGGGGACGAGTCTTCTTGCAGGTTACGGAAAGGGGCGAGTGGTGACGAATGGTTTTGTTGCCAGTCACACAATGCCCTGAGACGCCAGGGGTCATCGAGTGTGCATATAAGCTCCCCCCAGTGATCGATCATCTCTACACGCAATGTTGTTGAATACGCCCACCGGTGTTGAGAGTTTTGAATATTTGTTTACTAAATATAGTCGTCGGCGGCGCATTTTAGAGCAAGCGCTAGTTTACGAAAGCACTTTTAGTTTTTATCTATTTTTCGTTTTTCTCGTAATTCAAATGGCTAAAATGGTTATAAATGGGAACTAATATACATATATATTTTCGGTTCATTATGTTTTAATATTATGCACAAGAATGCAGTTTATTAGGGATAATTATATTGGCGCTGAACACATCGAAATGTCGCCAGTTTTAGGGTAGGCTACCCCAAACTCTATCCTTATCCCTTGGATCCCCTTTACGATCAATCACTCCTTTACGATCATTAGGGTTAGGTACCCGTTTCGTGGCTTTTATAGATTCTTTTGCGGCTCCTATTATTCTTCACACAAAAACGTCGTGTAAAAAGAATGAAATGGTTTTGTGTCAAATATTTTGGCTACTGGAAACTGTCATGGGACATTCAAACAAGCCACTTTCACCGGCTACATTTTTTCACTACTGATTTTCAGATCTGTTTTCAGTTCGCGCCATATCGGCTCACTCCCACCACTCGTTTTTTTTGTAGATTACGGAATGGGACGAGTGTGCCAAATGGCATCGGGATCATTCGTAAGTGTCCGTAGACTAAAGTCACGAGACACCATGCCTACCCGTAACCTTCGTAAGTGTCCGTCACCTATTCGACCCTTTTCGTTCAGTTCCGTAACGTCATAGGCATGACTAGGTAAATTTGCACTTTCTTTCACAGTATGGACGTAGCTCAGTCGGTTAGCTGTCGGGCTAACAATCTGAAGGTCTCGAGTTAGCGTCCGACGGATTCTCACAAAAACTGGTTGCTTGTCTTTGAGACGTGACCTACGGCAGAGATCATCCTCAAGAGAAATTGTGGTACTGTATTTAGAAGGTGCTCCGTTTTAATGAAATTGAAATTTAAATTGACAAACAAAGAAAGTAATTAATCAGCGGTAAGTGTATTCGGTGTCACGACAGTCGTCACTCGTTTGTAAACAACGGTCATTCGGTTGCGAGTTCAACTCCAAGCATGGTTGAGGCCACCTATCACAGTGGGGAGTTTTGACTGGTGGCAGCGAAGAAAGCTCCGCGAACGGACTATAGCTGTGAGGAGCTTGCCGGCCTTTCAGGCAAGGGAGACTATCCGACTGTTCTGAGAAGCTCCCCACAGAGCCTGCTTCATTTCCATAAGAACGGAGCTCCAATAGTCTACTTGAAGGTCCACCAGCAGCGGAGTGTACATTTCGTTTCGGACGTGAAAGAAGCTGAAACGATACGTTCTGTAGGCCGATGGGATATGGCGATGTACCGTTCAATTTCACATGCGATGTGCTCGCGACATATGAAAGATATTAGCAGTATGTGTGTGTTATGTTTTATTCTTGCTACACTTTTATATAAGCGGCAATATATAACATGTGTTAATATGTCTACGATTTCCAACAAGGTTTGTTTCTACTCACATAGACCACATAATCTGTCCCCCTGGACCATTGACGTGAGTGCAGTTCATGTAGGTTAGATCTCGTCTGCCATCTCGGTAATGAGTCTGAAATAGGCTCAGTATTATCAGTAAGATCACCTCATTTGTAAACTTGACAAGACTGTGCAACGACTTAGGCCCAAATTGCCTAGGTAAACATTCCTACCTTAATGATCATAAATACAAATTCAAGTTGTTTTTCTTTGTGCATTATTATTAGACCTACCTTCAGAATTCAGTAGATCTACCACAAATATTTCAAACAGGTCACCCGCTGTGATATTGCTGGAATATTGCTAAAAGCCGCTCACCCACTCAAACAGGTCACAATTGCACATGAAATAATTATTTAGATTTTGTTGCCAGATACTCAGGTCTGTGACATTAGCCTAGCAACAGGGTTCTTTGTAAACACACAATCTCTTTGAATAAGCCTAGTGATGTAGAGAGTTTTCCATATTTATTTACCAAAATGTAACCTGCAGCGGCACATACCATAACAAGTGCCATTTTATGAGAGAATTTTTATTTTCAATGTAGATTTATTTCTTTTATCTGCCTCACTTACATTAGATGGGGATATACATAATTATTTTTTTTAATTCTTTAGGTTTCATTCTTATGTACATGGATGCGGTTTATTAGGTGTTTATTTATTGATGATTCACACATCCAAACGTCTTGTTCCTCCTTATCATGCAATTTCAAGCATTTTCTTGTTCTGCATATATTCTTCTCATAAAAGCGTTCTCATGGCAAAAATAGTTAGGCCTGATCCTTCATTGTTCCATGCTCGCGACGCCGTGATATAACTGGAATAATGTTAAAAGCGGCGTTAAACCCAACTCACTCACTCACTCACTCCATGCTCGCGAAGTATTCCTTGCTTGGGGACCGCCTCCGTAGCCTAGTGGTAGAGCATCCTCATGGAGAGCGGAAGGTCCGGGCTTCGATCTCCGGCCGTGTCATACCAAAAGATGTTAAAAGATGGTACTTGTTGTTACCCTGTTTGGTGCTCAGCATAAAGGGGCAAAAACAAGGACTGGTCAGCTCGGAATCAGTATACTGTGTCTGAGTGGGATATTCATGTTAAACTGCGGCATAAATAATATGATTTATAGTGAGCTAGAACTATAATCGGCATCAGTCCGGACTAGTAAAAACACACACAAACTAAATGCACGTCGCTATATAAGTGCTATAATCTTGGACACAACGTTAAACCCCATTTCACCTCACCTCACCGCTTTACTTGGTACCTTGTAGATTATGTAACGGAACGAGTGTGCAACATGGCACCATGACCACTTGTAAATGTCTGTCGAAGAAAAGTCATACGATACCATGGCTGACCTAACCTTCATTAGTGTCCATCACCACTGTCATTTTCGTTCATTTTCCTAACATCTTAGGCATAACTTGATAAATATGCACTTAGTTTAACAGTACAGAGTCTGTGGACATAGCTCAGTAGGTTATCTTGTCAAGCTAATGATCCGAAGGTCACAAATTTGAGTCTGACAGATTCTTCCAAAAACTGGTTGCTTGTCTTTTGTCCTCTGTCTGATCAGGGTTCAATTTAACTACTGGCCCGTTGACTCATGGCCAGTTAAGATTACAAAGGGCTTGCTAAAATGAAAAGTATTTGGCCTGTCTGGCTAGTCCATATTTCATTACTTCTCCATGTATGTTTAATTTTTTTAATTGGGCGCTACTCATGAATCATGTTATTTTGATGAGAAAATATTTAAGGGGAATGAGGTCTTGTGAATGGTTAATTCAGTATAAGAAAATGGCGTGGGACACATGGTTACCACATGCACATGTGTTTTTCATAATGGTTTGATTAATGAAATATTTCAATTCTACTAGTGTATACTTTCCTCTTTGGTTGAGTATTTAATTGATGTACATTTACTGATTTATGCTTTATTATCAGTTTATTGTTACGTAAATAATACATACTTCTTGAGTGTACATACACATTTACACACACAGATGAATTTGCAAAGGTGAAGGGTTGTAGTAAGCATCAACCACTCAAATGTAAGGATTCAAGAGTATTATCCCTCGCTGTCAGTGAGGTTTTCCAGTTGGCACCTTGCTGGTCAGAAGCCCAGTTTGTTGGGTCGCTGGCGCTAATTGGCTTCTGATGGTTATACGGGCTAATTAAAGTGGCGCCGGCTAGATGACTGAAAGTTGGAGTGTTCTTTCCCATTAGTAAACTATCTGTTTGTTTGTACACTAATTGGGGGGTGACAAGATGTAGCATTTTTGATTTGATGAAATATTCTAAAGTAGGAAATTATTTTTTATTGTATATTCATATGGAAACAAAATGCTGTTTCTGTTTCTCCCCATTTTGACCTGGTTGAGGGTTATGTCCTACCACACCATATGAAGGAACTGCTGCATATATCTTGTATACTGATGGAACTTTTGTTGTGTATTTAACACATGATGCTGTCCAGGAAACCAACACAGCTGTTACACATACATCTGATAGAACAGCAAACATGTTTTATATATTGATATTAGAAAGAAATCATATATCATTAATCTTATTGATAATGATAGTTTTAAGTTTGTCAATAGATATTAATTGATTTATTAACAATGATGTCTGGTGTAAAATCAGAATCCTAATATGGATGCAGTCACAACATAACATCTTCCTGAGGATAGGGCAAGTCCAATATGCTCCTTCTTTCAGGAGTGTGTGCTTCACACTTGCGGTGTCTCAGCACTTTGGTAGATCTTCCAGAAACTCATGCTCTGTTACGCAAGACCTGTCGAGACTTTGCAGAAAATGAACTTGCACCTATTGCAGGAAAGATTGACAAAGAACACACCTACCCAAAAACACAGGTAAGTTATGAGATGTGTAACTGGTATTTGATGCATTGGTGGATTTAATTAATCCCCTATTTAAGAAAGAGAAAAATTGTTTGGGAGTTGTTCCACAATTGTTTGACTGTTGTTTAGCTGACTCAAGAATCATGAGTTTATGTATTCCATATACATGTATGATACGATATCATTGAACAGAGGATCAAATAAAATCCAATTAAAATTGTAAAAAAAATGCAGTTGGCATCTGTAATGTTTATCTAAGTAATTTGTTATTGAAGTATACAACATGACTAAACATGTCCATGTAAATGTACTACAGGTACTATCTTATTCCAGTGAATACATGCTGAGGGCACTCTTAGAATAAGTGAAGAGGAAAAGATAAGAACAGAACACCTGTCCATGATTTGACCCTAATAATGTCAATCCTCCACAAGCCCTACTATGTGAAGTGGAGTTATCCCATGTATATTACAGTGTATTCAGATTGCCTCATGCATGTTGGCCTTAAACCATATACCCCGTATCAGTTCTAGACTACTGCCTCTGAGTGGACAAACAATACATAATAATGTGCGACATTTTACACAGCAATAATTAATATACTTCATGCACATTGTTATCACAGACTTGTTCCAATCAATGGTAAACACTTGAAGGGTACACATTGTCTAGTTGAGTACTGCAACAGCATGTTGATTAGCACAAGTATGACCGGTGTCTCCACAAATACAAGTGTTTTTAAACTAAAGTGATGGGAAATATTAAGCATGTTAAGAGTAAGATTGCAACATGCAAACGGAGAACTACTATAGGTTAGTTATCAGATGTAAAATTGAAAGTAACATTCAGAATAAGTATGAGATGGTTAAATGTAAAAGGATTTCATGTTCACCTGGCAAGGTATGACTTGAGGACACTTTCAGTTCATTTATTGCTTTGTTTTCTTATTTTCCCTTGGTTACCGCTTCAATATGAGGATTAGTACTTTTCTATAATTATTAGCCTCCACTCTGTTGCTGCAGTTGAATCAGCTGTTTAAATCAGTTGGCTATTATCCTCCTCCACAAAGTGGGGCAGGGGAAATAGGAATGGTGTTCGTCCGTCTGTCTTTCCTTCTTTCCATCCATCTGCTTCTCAGAGGGGCCAAATTTTCTAAAAACTATTTAAGTCAGAGAAATGAAATTTTACACACTGATTTTACTGGTGATGATCACAAATGAATTCGAAAATTGGTGTTGTAACTTCGTCTTTTGCAGAGTTATGGCGCTTGCTCCATGCTTTCAACCTCTTGCATACTATGTGAAATGGGGACCAGTTTTCTAAGGGACTACTGAAGTTCCATGAATGAAAGTTTGCATGCTTATCTAAGAGATACTTGTCAAGACTGAGTTCGAATATTGATCTGTTTTCAGAGTTACAGTCCTTGATCCATGTTATTTTACTTGGTGCATAGTGTCTGCAATGGGGACAAATTTTCAAAGAAACTACTGAAGTTAGCTTATCTAAGAGATACTTAATGAGACTGAGTTATTTTTTTCCAGAGAAGGGGCCTTTTATGTGTACCGGTATTAATTTCACATTTAATCAGTTTTTCTGATGACATAATGTGGCCCAAGTGACTATCTCTTCTTGGGGCTTTAGAGGTCTCTATTTTAAGATTTATAATCACAACTATATGAACAAACAAATTTTTAAACTTATCCTATCTCACATTGTGCATTTCTTCTTATTCTTCGATCTTGGTGTGGAAACGTCCTAGAACAGTTTCCAGCTTCAGAAAACACCACTTACCCAAACACATCCCATACATCACCAAATCACCACTGTGATCATGGTTCACGCACCACTAAAATCCTGTGCGACACGACCCCAGCGACCTGATCACCTGACATATCCAGCACCCTGATTCCCTATTCTATCGCTATGGTGTTCAGACGTTATTCTTGAACATGTTGAACAGAGAATTTTTTAAATTTTGTTTTGTTTATATATATATAAAATTTAAATACACGACATCACGGCTAAGTTTACCATTAACACAAAGAGACAGCGGTATTAAAAACGATGTCTACTGTGTACCACCATGCCAGAATTGGATCTCAACTTACTTAGCTTACTTACTCTCCGGCTTTCTAATGGCGACAGCCCTTCTGCCTGAAAACACTACAATCGTCGGCGAGGAAGTGATAGCCAACTGACGACGGATGTTCACTCACAGGATCGTCATCCTTCGCTGGATCGTAACGCCCGAGTGATCAAGGGATCATAGACGACCGAGGGATCGACCGATCGACAGATCACCTTACTTCACCGTTATCGGCATACTTCACCATTATTGACAAGATGCTGATGTTGGATGGACAGCCCATCAGATCGTACCTGGGAGGATCGACAGTTTCGTCTCATCTACAGATCGATACCGAGGGATCTCCACTCTACGATACACATCGATGCATCAACACATCGATATGTCGACACATGGATAAATTGATACGTCAACACATGGATAAATCGATATGTCGACACATGGATAAATCAATATTTCGACACATGGATAAATCGATATGTCAACACATGGATAAATTGATACATGGATAAATTGATACATCAATACGTCGACACATGGATAAATCGATACGTCGACACATCGTCCGATCAAGAACTCGTCCGCTGGTACGACTTTACCTGCAGGAAGCCTCGGTGGCTGAGTGGGTTAGATTGCTGACTTTGTGTGATGGCGATTAGTTCCTTACTCAGGCAGTGTGGGTTCGAATCCCGGATGGTACTCAACCCCATAAAGTACGAGCGTGTACTTTACTGAGAAGATGTTATGCCAGATATAACTTTGTTATATAATACAGAGGAACGACAGATCGTCCTCAGTCATAAGATCGTCATTCTTCCACGGAATCAATAGACCTCACTCTCATCGTGCATCGGACTTCTATACACGAATTTGGACAAGGCCTTCATTGCATTCCGTTGTCTAGATCGGACAATCCAGTGATTGTTATCACGAGCATCCATCTACGTCTTGGAAACGATGACCTGCACCAACCATATCAGCGAACTTGACCAACCGGTCTCGTTGATCTCTTAATGGCAAGCTTGAGATACTGACGTCTCTTCTCTACCGGGATCTTCATGGATCCGGTCCACGTGCCTGCCAGTCATGAATTGTCTTACGATACTCTCCTATGAGAAAGCACAATTACAAGGTTATGACAGAATTGAATCGTCTCACAATCAACATCATCCTGAAGCTCGATATCATCGCAGCCGACCTTTATCATCAACGCCGTCGCTTTAAGCCTGATATTCCATTACAGATCATGATGCTCAAGGCTACGTGCTCCCCCTATTCAGATTGGAATCGTCAAACAGGCGCCATCATCCTGAGGTTTGATATCATCGCAGCCGATCTTTATCATCGACGCCCTCGTTTCAGCCTGATATTCCATATGAGTTGGCACGCCTTATCCATGGTCAACCTACACCATTCTAACAGACGATTCGACGGGGGAGTTCGTCGGTCTTTCATCGATACAAACGGCAGATGTTCGATGTCTGAAGATGGTTTCAAGCGTCATACAAGGTACTACACCGGTTCATCCCATATTCTACAAGGAACTGACTGCCTATACACTGGAGTTTTTCGTTACTCGGGACACCGCTCGTGTGTTGGGAGCTTTTGACCACGTGATCAGAAAGACTGCTGTATTTCCTGTTTCTGCGCAAGGGTGAATTACACATCATGCCCAGATTGCTGTTTGTAAAAAAGACTACCATGCTGATTTTGGTACAGGCTGATCTCATGCAAGTCGTGCGAAGTATTTACAGTAGTAGTCAACGACTATACGTACGGTCTGTCACATCTTCACAACGCCTTTTAACGTCGCATCGATACTGGGATGCACAGCGCTTTTTCCGGTGCTTAGAATCCATCGTCTCTTCACTAGTTCTACATGTCGCCGATCAACCTGGCAGGACAAGTCGTCCCTCACTTATTCAAGACGAGAGCTGGTGAATATCGACATTTTATTTCGGTATATGATCCTTATGTTCTCCACGTCCATTCAAGGCACGGGTTCTGCTACTACTGCTCTTCAACGTGGTCCCGATTACCCTGCTTCGTACAATCAACCAACTGGTAAACTACATCTTCAGCCTCGTTTTTCTACTAGATACTAGATCACACACACGACCGTCAAGATTTTACCATCGCTTTAGAACACCAGTTTTGTGTTATGTGTGCATGAATGTCGATCTGCAGGCGAACTCATCTCCACATCAACAACTTGGAAGTTCAGTGTTCTATGTATGGTAATAGCTATTACACTACGGATGACCTCTCCGCTACCCCATTCCAACCGTCACCGGTCAACAGACGACAGCTTGGATAAACACAACTGGAAGGAGAACCACCCTTCTTGTCACTGGCAGTACCCTTTGGAATTGCTTTGACCCATGACTATGTACACGAGTGACGAAACCAATTGCTGTTCGTCACACAGGAATCCGTAATACATTTTACCTGGATGAAGGGATTCAAGCCCGGATATCAACAATTACTCAGACCACAATATTTACCCAGAAATTATTAACACAACTACGTTGGTTAATAAATTATCAGAAGTCCGACTTACAACCATTCCAGGATCGCCATTCCTTGGGATCAAGTCTAATGAGCCAGACTAACATCCTAGTACCAGAACACATTGAGGAAACACCTCTTGTGAAGGACAGTGGAATCAATTGTTTGCACAGGAACTTGGTTACACAAGCCGGAAAACAACAACCACCTGTTCATGGATGCCTCACTTCAAGGTAGGGGAGCTCACTTCAACTTGGAAGTAACATCAGGCCTATGGTCAGAAGCAGACAGGTCTGCCACATCAATTATCTGGAATACGAGTCTGTAATCCGGGCAATATTTCTTTGGACCCCACAGACAAGAAACCAATGTCTGATGATCGGGACACTCATTTCAACTGTGGCATGCACCTTCAAGGCACGATGAAATCAGAGACCCTCCTGCAGTTGCCTTTCACCTTTGATAGACAAGCTCAACTTACAGATAAAGGCAAGACATATACTGGGAGCGGCAAGTGGATTAGCAGACCAGCAAGACTATTGCCAACAGAATGGAAGCTACGGCTGAAGCATTCCAACTGGCAATAAAAAAAAAGGTTGTCTACTAATAACCCTTTTTGCATCAGATAACATTGTGGCACCAGCGCCGGACCCACTAGCCTGGTCAGTCGAAACTCGGACAATATCATGGGAGGACCTAAACGCGTATGCGTTTCCCCCACTAGCCTTGATACCAAGGATACTACACACGAGCTACCTACAACTGCTGTTGGTAGCGCCTTCTGACCGACAAGAACTTGGGTTCCAGAGATCGTCGAACTGGCAGAGATTCCACTACTAAGACTTCCAAACTGGTCACATCTACTGCTACATCCTCCATCCAATCAGGTCCATCCAAGACCAGAATTATACAAACTTCACGTATGGAGTACTATAAACCTTGATATAAACGCGAGCGTGAATTAAATGCGAAAAATGCGAGTGGTCTTTGCTCGCATTATTAAATAAGACATTTTGGATAGCAGAAATACCAACTTAGACATACGCTGAAAACAAACAACTATGTATTCCACATCACTGTTTATTGAGCAGCACTTGTTACAAGTATATAAACAATGTCATTCAAACACTAATTACATCCTGTGAATTGTCACTGCTGGGGTCAAGACAAGCATTCTACTCACTCATGTCATCACTGATCACACCTGCAAGTCCAGACAGACGCCACCCAACACGGTGTTTTTGCTCTTTGCGACTGCAATAAAGGCCGATACGAGCCAGCGCGCATGTATTGTTTTAGCGGAAGTACTCTACTCAGCGCTAATAAGCGGTGCTATTTGGTGTGTGATTGGATTAATGTAAGGTTGGATTAAGGTGAGGATTCTCCTGTAAACCTGACAGAGGACCTTTTGTTTAGATATAAATCCACTGATGCTTGAGAGGAGGGGGTGTCGCATTCATATTGAGTCGCATTTTTGGCTAGGGGCCAGCGGTCGCATTCTTTTGGAGACGCATTAATTTCACGTTTTACAGTATATCAAGAGCAGTCTCGTAAGATAATTTCCATTAGAGCAGCTAAGGCAGCCTCCTTAGCACTTCGTAAATCAACGAGAATCTAGGTGACGATAAATGGAAAAGTTTTCACCAGTTTGCAGTTTTCTGCAGCCAAGCTACTATACCACAAGTAGCAGATTACCTATGTCACTTAAGAAGTATCTTATGATTCAACACTTGTCACTTACTGGGCAGCGATCAGTTCTGTACCAACTACTCACTAATGGGATAAAACTTGCTACAGTTCCCGAACCAATAGATCTACTGTCACTGACCTTCGGACATTGATTCTCTCATACCACCTTATGGACCAATCTTCCAGATTTGGCCCTCCAGCATGGGATCTCCCTGTATTCCTCCGTCACTTCTCCTGGCTGACTATAAACCACTTGTGGATAAAACCTCAAACTTTACGTTCATGACAATCTTCCTGCTTGCGTTGGCTCCTGCAGCTCGTGTTAGAGGGACTCGTGCTTAGACGTCGGTTGAGTCAGGTTCCAGCGTCTTCAATAAGGTAAGTATTCAAAGACATTTCGTCATTTCAGCCTCCATCACTCTCATTGATTGAGAGCTGATGTCATGGAAGACGTCTCACTTTGTCCAGCCTGAGCCTACAAGATCTACTTGAAGGCATCTCAGACCATCCGTCGCTGTCGCAAGCATGTTTTCATCCACTTGTCGACAGCTGCAACCTCTGATGTATCTTGAACCACCATCTCCACTGGCTGCGTTCTATCATCCTCAGGGTCTACACCTTTGAGGGACTACCACCCCAGCTGCTTCCAATCCTCATGAGACGAGGGCAGTGACTTCCACCTTGGCGTTGCATAGTATTGCACACTTTCAGCCATCATGGAGGGATGTTGAGGCGTTCTGATATGGTCTTTGCCTCCTACTCCTTTCGGAATCTCAGTTGCCGAAGTCCAAGGTCACAGCATCCACAAAGCGCAGATGAGGAAGCCCAGCGGACTACAAGTCCCAAGTCTGGTTTCCTGTATATACTGCAATATTTTCATTTATTGCTTATGTTAATCGGGTTTCCCAGACAAGCTCCCATTGGGAGGGTATATATGCTTGTCTGTTGGGACTTCGGTCTACGTCAATAGAAGTCACCATCCGGTGCGGCCATGTGTTAAATAGTGTCCCAATCTTCTACCTGCTCACCTCTGTCTTTGCGCATGTGATGTCTCCGTAGTTGATTGACGACCTGTGTGATAAACGGGTCTACACCAACCGAAGTCACCATCCAGTGCGACCAAATGTTTAAATGGTGTCCCGATCTTCTACCTGCTCACCTCTGTCTTTGCGCATGTGATGTCTCCGTAGTTGATTGACGACCTGTGTGATAAACGGGTCTACACCAACAGTAGTCACCATCCGGTGCGGCCATTTGTTTAAATGGTGTCCCGATCTACCTGCTCACCTCTGTCTTTGCGCATGTGATGTCTCCGTAGTTGATTGACGACCTGTGTGATAAACGGGTATCGTCAATGGTTTCCTCTTCTCGTTCTTACCTTATTCAATCTCTACGTGAGTTTGATAGGTTGACGAAGCGAAAAAAGAGATGCCAAGCTGGTCCACCTTACGTCCTTGGGACCGTATGTATGAGGTCTGTCTTGTAGAACCTACGCCGGGGACGTGGTGTTTGAATCAAAACACCTCCTCCTGTCAGGGGTGAGGTTTAAGTCGTGACCGAGTAGGTGTCGCCTGGCTCATGGTTACGCGGTCGTTCTTGGAACAGCGTCCTGTGTGAAACCATGGAACACATGATTCCCTGATGTCATGATGTATATCTCTTGGTAGCACAGAGGGTTTTTTGAAGCAACCCTTACACGAGTTTATCACTAATCCTTCTAAAATCCTTTGCATTTCCTGATTTGTTCCAGCTTCCTCGTGTATGTCTCACGGTTGAGGTCCTTACAGGCTAGGGTATCTGCGCCCCACCATCTACTATGGGATAAATGCATAGTTTGTAAATTTTCTAATAAATTGTATATTTATATACTTATCCTCTCTCACATGCTTAATGCCCACCCAACTATCCCCCCATCACAGTTACACCAGCCTGTATGTTCTAGACTGAGAATGAGGGTGCTGGATATGTCAGGTGATCAGGTCGCTGGGGTCGTGTCGCACGGGATTTTAGTGGTGCGTGAACCATGATCACAGTGGTGATTTGGAGATGTATGGGATGTGTTTGGGTGAGTGGTGTTTTCTGAAGCTGGAAACTTTGTTCTTGGACGTTTCCACACCAAGATCGAAGAATGAGAAGAAATGCATAGTGTGAGATAGGATAAGCATATAAATATACAATTTATTAGAAAATTTACAAAATTCTAATGTGCCAGGGGGATAGTGATAACACTGTTTTATTGTCATATGAAACCTCTGATTGACCAATTGAATCAAGTTTTTTTCAAATTCATGGTGAAATTTGTCTCCTTGTGAAACTGTGTAAGTTCCGTCAATATTACCAGGGAAATAGCATTGATGGCTTCTCAGGGAGTAATCAAACTGTGAGACCTGTAATGAAATGTGTTTGAATAATTCAGTGATCATGACTTTTTTTAGTGTTTCCCCCTCACTAACTGTGAGTAGTTACCTGTCTGGGTTGCCCCTACCTAACAGTAGCATGTGCAGAGACTGCTTGCCTGTGCAGGTGGAGATGATGGGAGAGCTGGGACTGATGTGTGTGTCGGTGCCCGAGGAGGACGGGGGTACAGGCCTGGACTACCTGGCCTATGCTATAGCCATGGAGGAGATCAGTAGGGGTTGTGCTACTGCTGGAGTTATCATGAGTGTCAACAATGTGAGTAATTGTTTTCCTATTTTGTTTGGCTATCCATTTTCTTATTCTGCCATAGCTACATATAGCGCTGACAATGTATAAGGATCATATCTGACCATATCATGATGAAAAAGTAAATCATTTGAAGGAATTAATTGAAGTCATAAGAAATTGTGAAGTGAACCTACTTAATGTTTGCTATCGAGAAGCTTGACTCAAAAATTAATAAATGTAGGATTTTCTCAGCATGCTGATGACATGAGTGAAGATGACTTGCAGATTCGAAAGATCACTTTTATATATGTGAATGTATCTTGAATAAGGGAAAAATTGGGACCAGGGAATGGATTCCAGTTGACGGTACATTAGAAATAACTGATTTTGAGATAATGAAGTTTTGACTCTACTAGCTGCACATGCTTATCTTGTCTCCTGCACAGAATGTACCTTACACATGTGTTACAAGCATAAGGCAAAGTTAACTGTATCCTCTGCCTTACATCTTCAGTTATATTTGTTTGTGTAACCTACTAATGGTTTATGTTTTTTTCAGTCACTTTATTTAGGTCCAGTTCAGAAGTATGCCACCAAAGCCCAAAAGGACCAGTTCATGTCTCCATTCTTATCAGGAAAAAAAGTTGGCTGCTTTGCGCTCAGTGAACCAGGTAGAATATGTTGACAAGATCTGTCTTTAGTTTCATCCCAGCAGTTGCAGTAGAATGTCATGTACCACTGCTTACATAAACCTGTCAACTGTGTCTGTGGTGACGCAGGTAGTGTGTCAGCAGAATAAGCCCTTACTGTCAGCTGTGTCTGTGGTGACGCAGGTAGTGTGTCAACAGAATAAGCCCTTACTGTCAGCTATGTCTGTGGTGTTGCAGGTAATGTGTCAACAGAATAAGGCCTTACTGTCAGCTGTGTCTGTGGTGTTGCAGGAGGTGTGTCAACAGAATAAGCCCTTACTGTCAGCTGTGTCTGTGGTGATGCAGGTAGTGTGTCAACAGAATAAGGCCTTACTGTCAGCTGTGTCTGTGGTGTTGCAGGAGGTGTGTCAACAGAATAAGGCCATACTGTCAACTGTGTCTGTGGTGTTGCAGGTAGTGTGTCAACGGAATAAGCCCTTACTGTCAGCTGTGTCTGTGGTGATGCAGGTAGTGTGTCAACAGAATAAGGCCTTACTGTCAACTGTGTCTGTGGTGTTGCAGGTAGTGTGTCAACAGAATAAGGCCTTACTGTCAGCTGTGTCTGTGGTGTTGCAGGAGGTGTGTCAACAGAATAAGCCCTTACTGTCAGCTGTGTCTGTGGTGATGCAGGTAGTGTGTCAACAGAATAAGGCCTTACTGTCAACTGTGTCTGTGGTGTTGCAGGTAGTGTGTCAACGGAATAAGGCCTTACTGTCAGCTGTGTCTGTGGTGTTGCAGGAGGTGTGTCAACAGAATAAGCCCTTACTGTCAGCTGTGTCTGTGGTGTTGCAGGTAGTGTGTCAACAGAATAAGTCTTTACTGTCAGCTGTGTCTGTGGTGACGCAGGTAGTGTGTCAACAGAATAAGCCCTTACTGTCAGCTGTGTCTGTGGTGATGCAGGTAGTGTGTCAACAGAATAAGCCCTTACTGTCAGCTGTGTCTGTGGTGACGCAGGTAGTGTGTCAACAGAATAAGCCCTTACTGTCAGCTGTGTCTGTGGTGTTGCAGGTAGTGTGTCAACAGAATAAGCCCTTACTGTCAGCTGTGTCTGTGGTGTTGCAGGTAGTGTGTCAACAGAATAAGCCCTTACTGTCAGCTGTGTCTGTGGTGATGCAGGTAGTGTGTCAACAGAATAAGCCCTTACTGTCAGCTGTGTCTGTGGTGATGCAGGTAGGGTGTCAACAGAATAAGCCCTTACTGTCAGCTGTGTCTGTGGTGTTGCAGGTAGTGTGTCAACAGAATAAGCCCTTACTGTCAGCTGTGTCTGTGGTGATGCAGGTAGTGTGTCAACAGAATAAGGCCTTACTGTCAACTGTGTCTGTGGTGTTGCAGGTAATGTGTCAACAGAATAAGGCCTTACTGTCAACTGTGTCTGTGGTGATGCAGGTAGTGTGTCAACAGAATAAGCCCTTACTGTCAGCTGTGTCTGTGATGATGCAGGTAGGGTGTCAACAGAATAAGCCCTTACTGTCAGCTGTGTCTGTGGTGTTGCAGGAGGTGTGTCAACAGAATAAGCCCTTACTGTCAGCTGTGTCTGTGGTGATGCAGGTAGTGTGACAACAGAATAAGCCCTTACTGTCAGCTGTGTCTGTGGTGTTGCAGGTAGTGTGTCAACAGAATAAGGCCTTACTGTCAACTGTGTCTGTGGTGTTGCAGGTAGTGTGTCAACGGAATAAGCCCTTACTGTCAGCTGTGTCTGTGGTGTTGCAGGAGGTGTGTCAACAGAATAAGCCCTTACTGTCAGCAGTGTCTGTGGTGTTGCAGGTAGTGTGTCAACAGAATAAGCCCTTACTGTCAGCAGTGTCTGTAGTGTTGCAGGTAGGGTGTCAACAGAATAAGCCCTTACTGTCAGCTGTGTCTGTGATGACACAGGTAGTGTGTCAACAGAATAAGCCCTTACTGTCAGCTGTGTCTGTGGTGACGCAGGTAGTGTGTCAACAGAATAAGCCCTTACTGTCAGCTGTGTCTGTTGTGTTACAGGTATTGTGTACACAGAAAAAGCCCTTACTGTCAGATGTGTCTGTGGTTTTGCAGGTAGTGTTGCAGGTAGTGTGTCAACAGAAAAAGCCCTTACTGTCAGCTGTGTCTGTGGTGATGCAGGTAGTGTGTCAAAAGAATAAGCCCTTACTGTCAGCTGTGTCTGTGGTGATGCAGGTAGTGTGTCAAAAGAATAAGTCTTTACTGTCAGCTGTGTCTGTGGTGTTGCAGGAAGTGTGTCAGCAGAATAAGTCTTTACTGTCAGCTGTGTCTGTGGTGACGCAGGTAGTGTGTCAACAGAATAAGCCCTTACTGTCAGCTGTGTCTGTGGTGATGCAGGTAGTGTGTCAAAAGAATAAGCCCTTACTGTCAGCTGTGTCTGTGGTGACGCAGGTAGTGTGTCAACAGAATAAGGCCTTACTGTCAGCTGTGTCTGTGGTGTTGCAGGAGGTGTGTCAACAGAATAAGCCCTTACTGTCAGCTGTGTCTGTGGTGACGCAGGTAGTGTGTCAACAGAATAAGCCCTTACTGTCAGCTGTGTCTGTGGTGATGCAGGTAGTGTGTCAACAGAATAAGCCCTTACTGTCAGCTGTGTCTGTGGTGTTGCAGGTAATGTGTCAACAGAATAAGCCCTTACTGTCAGCTGTGTCTGTGGTGACGCAGGTAGTGTGTCAACAGAATAAGCCCTTTCTGTCAGCTGTGTCTGTGGTGACACAGGTAGTGTGTCAACAGAATAAGCCCTTACTTTCAGCTGTGTCTGTGGTGTTGCAGGCAATGGCAGTGATGCAGGGGCGGCCTCAACGACAGCTAGGCTGCAGGGGAACAGCTGGGTGCTCAATGGGACCAAGTCATGGATAACAAATGGCTATGAATCCGCAGCAACTGTGGTATGCTGTGAAATTGATTTTCTTCGTATTATGTTTCTAATTCATTTTACAGTGTGCAGTTGATTTAGCTATTAGAGGTTGATATTAGAGATCATCTGTTAGTGATTTGATGGCTGCATTTATAGGCCACCTGGCCTTGTAATGGCAATCAGGTGGCTCATTGAACTTGATTACCATATTCGACATAATAAGCGCCCATGGTGACTTTTGCTAATATATTGGATCATGAACAATCACAATTAACACCCCTTACGATTGATCAATGTACAGTGATCCCTTGCTACAACGCTACCTTCGGGGTCCAAATAATTGATGAGCGTCATATATGATCAGCGGTTTAACGAAGGTCAGGTCGTAGGTGGTAGATGACCAACAAAACAGTATACATGCTCTGCCTACCTAACATGATCAACATTGCATGTTTCAGAGTTTCGAAAAAGATTGGAATAGGTATAACAAACTTGGTCATTAAAATGTATGAAATTTGATATAAAACATCACTAAACATGATGATTTACCATTTAAAATGTATTTCCTGCTCTCAAAGGCATTGTTTTATATGCAGATATTACGATTACCGTGTGTATTTTCTCGTAAACTAAGTGGGAAATAGCAATCAGCTGTGCACGTGTTTCCTCCCAATCTACCGGGGATACAGTTAAAACGTACCCAGTGATGCCACTTTAAAGTAATTTGATGCAATGGTCGGAAGAAATTGTGTCTGAAATTATTATATTATCAGGAATAATATATTCCAAAATCGTGTTATTTTAGTTGCAGCTTCCACCATATATACTTAAAATTAAAAGAACCATAAGCGTAGCACTTTGGTACAAATTGTATGCAGGATATTTTTTGACGTATGGAACGATTTTGACCAGTCACCGTAGGGACTTCCCGTGCTACATGTATTTGGATTGCGGAAACATTATGTTGACATTTAATAGTCAAATTGCCTCAAATGTAACTTTTAGTGAGTCATGGTACTGCATTTATGATATGTGTATCCATTCTCTTGCCAGTAAAGTTCATTTCAAGGCGTCAATAGCGGTATTCTGACCGTGGTTGCTGTTAATAACGGTGAGTTGTGCGATCTACCGATCACTTCGCATACGATTTCCTCGAAATTATTGTAAACATTATTATAATTATTGAATGAAATTTTGAATATAATTAAAATATATTGCAAACATTACTCCAGATAAACAATGATTTTTTTATGTTATTATTACCAGAAATTATAATGATAGGATTAAATTGCGTACTACAGTTCGGATTTGTTGACAGGTATTTCCAGTGTTACGTGATCTGAGATGGGGGAAAACATCTTGTTTTCTCACTCAAATTATGTTCCAATAAGAGCCCCCTATTTCTAGTTTTGAGAGCGCCCTGGGCGCTTATTATGTTGAATACGGTAATAGTGTTTCTAACTGATTCAAGCCATCTTGACTGGAAAATAAATTTGAACCCTGATTAATTATTTGACAGTTATGTACGTGGTCACTGGTCATTGTCGCATATGAGCAGATACTAGTACCTGGTATGACTTGTTATTGTATTTGTGAATAAATATTCTTATTCTTTACCCTGTGTTCGTGAACAGTTTTCACCTCAGAGTATTCGTTGCAGCCCTACTGATTTTAGGGCCCCCAAATGAGCTGACTGAAATAGGGATCCAGGTCATTACAATGGCCTGTCACTAATGCTGTGGCATGCTGTTTTGTTTGGTCAGGGTTTGTTTTCTTTTAGTCAGCACAAAAGTATGAGTGTCTCAGTGGTGTTAGGCTAGGCAAATTTCCTGTCCAGAGTTGCATCCCCTAGTCATGCCAGGATCCATTTGTTTTGGGTTTTAATCCCAGATTTGCATTGTATGTGATCCTTGGATTGTCCATTTTGTGGGTAAACTTCCAGGACTTAAAGCACTTTAAGGTTTCATCCCATATTAAGGTAACATGCTGAGATATAACTGAAATACTGTTCAAAGCACAGGCACAGGAACATGGCAAGTCACCCTTTAAAAATTAAATAGTTTATTCTCTTTCAGATTAAATCCTCCTTGGGGCACTTATTGCATTTTCCTGGCTCAAGAAAATCTACATGACATAGTTGTAACCATTTTCCTTAATAAAAATGTTACCACACAAAAACTTCGTTTTTGTATGATATACGACCACCCTTACGGTGCCTCACCTTCCACGGCGCGTCACGCCAAGGGAAGCAACCCTCACCCAAATCACTTTCCTTTATGTCATTCATTCTGACAAGACGTGTGGCAACTCTGAGAAAAGTTTCTAAGTACGAAAGATCGTGACCTTAGACAGCATGGCTGACCAAACTGTATGTATGGTACATTTATTACCTTGCAAAGGCGTAATACCTCGCATTGTAAAATTATAACGTTGTAATTCTCTTAGAAGAAACGCCACGTGTACGGCGCATGTGAATTCAAATGTCCGTAATGGCGTCCATTGTGCGGTTCCACTGTCTGACACATGTAAACCCAAAGCCAACAAAATGGCTTGGGGTTTGGTTAATCATACAGATTACAACTGCACGTTTTTTCCTTTACAAAACCCAAGGTGCTGTACTAGATTATAACTACACATACCTTTTTTAAAAGGGTTTTTACACCTTAGTGCGTAACACGCCCACTTGGTGTATTTAAAAAAATTATCCAACGAACAATGGCTATTAGTATCGCGCTACAATCCCATTACACATTACGCCTTTGCTTCTGTTTTCACAATTTATTAAAAGCACGTATCTTGCCGATCTTTAATCGCACTGATACACTTTTCCCACCCAACCCAACACAATATTTATGGTCAAACTTCAAACTTTGTACGGGATGCGGGCTAAACATTCCGCCCCAAGACCAGCATGCGTGCTGCCTAAAGTGCTTGGTTGAGAACGGGCATGATGACCAGACATGCTCCACATGCATGGCTTTCACGCCCAAAACAATGAAAAGGCGACATGCCAACCTGATACACTATAAAAGTCTACTCGAGGCGGGGGTGGATATTCACTCTAAGAAGGTCTTTCCCCCCAGTCTAAAAAGGGTAAAAGTAAACCTAGGGCTAATACGCCTTCCGCCACGGTCTCCTCCGCTCCCTCTCCGAGGGCCGGGGATGAAGGCTCTAGGGTTCCCGAGGTCCCCTTAACTGCACCCTCTTCTGCACCTTCGTTAGCAGATATATCTGCTCTGTTTAAGTCGCAGATGGCGTCGATGATGGAGGAGGTCAAGTCCCAGCTCCGAGAGGAGATGCGGGCTGGGCCTTTCCCGTCGTCGGCGCCGGGCGCGGTTTCGAGGTCTTGTGGAATGTCCGGCGTCGGCCGAGGCAGGCCACTTGACCTCGGGGACGACCCGAGACCGGGCTTCGGCTCCGGCTCGAGGTCGCTCCCCAGCGGAGGGGTGGCGAGCGCTGGCTCGTTCACTACCTCCGCACCTTTCTCCCTAGCGGAGTCAGACGCCTTCTCCGAGGCCGAGGCTCCCGCTAGCGGAATTATGGCCCAGAGCCAGGTGGGTTCTCTTGAACAGCAATACTGTAATGCAGGCCAACAACTTCGCATATCCGTACACTCCGCGTATCTGTCCGCTGTACAGAGGGAGCTAGTGGGAGAGGGGCCGGCCGACTCTTCGGAGTTGGTGGTGCAACTGACGGAGGTACATAGTCACCATGCGAGGGACGCTATTCGTAGCTGTGCCTCGCAGATGATGTGCGCAGTCATGGGCATGCGCAGGCTGTGGATGTCAGTATCTAAGTACTCGACGTCCACACGCCAGGATCTCCTAGCTTTGCCTTATAAGATGGGTTCGACCCTCTTCCCTGGGGCTCAGCAGGTGGTCAGAGAGGCCGCTCAAATGTATGCTTCTATCAAGGACTCTAAGGCCTTGTTGGAGATACCTAGCGTCAAACCGCGTAAGCGGGCCTCTCCGCTTGACTTCTCCCACGCTGATGCGCCGGCTCAGAAGTCCGCACCTGCTTGGAAGCAGCCGCTTCCTTCAGGTAAGGGCGCCAGGAAGAGCAAGCGAGGCAGGGGCCGGGGCAAGGCAGCTGGTCGAGGCCAGCAGCCTTTTCGCGGGGCCGGGAACCCGATGGGTTCCCATTAGCGCCCGAAGCGCCCCGGGCGGACCCACAGTCGCAAGTTATCGAACTGCACACAGTAGGGGTCCACTGCCTAAAACCGGATGTCCCCGTAGGCGGCCGACTGACTCTATTCCTGAGGGAATGGGAGAAAGTCACCTCAAATCCCTGGACACTGTCCACTCTAAGGGATGGCCACTTGCCTCGGTGGAAACATCATCCGCCCACCTTCTCCGGGATAAAGCACACTCCAGTGCCTGCTACCCGAGAGAAGGCGGAATTTCTCCGTGCCGAGGTCGACGCACTTCTAATGAAGGCGGCGATCGAACCGGTTCCCGTGGGACAGGAAAGCGAGGGATTCTACTCGACATATTTCCTAGTCACCAAAAAAGACGGAGGGTTCAGACCTATTCTCAATCTGAGAAGGTTGAACAATCTTATAGAGGTACCGTCCTTCCGGATGGAGACACTGCGCTCAGTGATCTCAGCGGTCGAGACAGGAGAATGGCTAACGTCAATAGACCTAAAAGACGCATATCTCCACGTACCCATACACCCCGAGTTCAAGAAATACCTCAGGTTTTCTTTCGACGGGAGGTGTTATCAGTTCAGGGTTCTATCATGGGATAACATTTATACTAAGTTATCCTATAATAATTAGACCTACATCAAGTGCTTTTATGAGTTATCGTGGTGTAATTTTTATACATCATTTCATATAATTATAGTTTAGCAAGTAATAATTATCATTAGGTAAAATGCATATATAAAATATCAGTAGTTTCAGTTAAAGCTTTTTTGGATGGTTGCTAGCCTAAGGTAATGGGAGCGCGTCTTCTAGACATGCTATTCAATAAGACGAGAGTTACGTCTACATAGTTTAATTGATTTGAAGCTTTTAGATAAATGCTAGCCTAAGGTATCAAGATCCCATCTCCCAGACAAAGGATATTTATTTAAGTATATCTGTCATCAACTACCGGGGTATATTAGAATAACATTACTTCAATTAAGACTCATTAAGGATTAGCCCCAATACAAGCTCGTCTATAGTGCATTAAGGATTAGCCCCCATACAAGCTCGTCTATAGGGCATTAAGGATTAGCCCCCACACAAGCTCATCTATAGTGACACCCTAATCTCTTTCAAAGCATCCAGTAAATATGTCAACAAGATTAGTGCCAGTCCAACAGGATAAACAGGATTTAGTATTCCCCTCTGTCTAGCCATCCATTTAGCTTAGGACACAACCAATCGTGTATCAACCAATCACATCCCTTTTATTGTTCAAATTTTTGTTAAATACATACTGTAGGCAGGTTTTAAGCAGAGAAGGGGTTTGACTCTCTTACCAAGCAGACCTCTCTCCCACAGCCCAGAGTGTGTACCGACTCTCTGTGGCACCCTCAGTTATTTTCTAAGATATTGTAAATTGTTAATTGTTCATGTAAATAAAATTGTGATTAGTCTCCTGTGACTCTGGCTCTTTGCTGACTAGTTCCCCAAGAAAACCAGCACGTCATTTGGAAGGTATTGTTCACCCAGAACAGTTCCATGATAGTTCTACCATTTGGGATCGCTACGGCCCCGAGGGTGTTCACCAAGCTGATGTTGATTACTGCCCAAGTAGCCAGGTCGAAGGGTCGGCAACGACTGGTTACTAAGAGCTCTATCGCAATCCCTCAGTCAGATAGCTACACTAGCTGTGATAGACATTCTGATCACACTAGGGTGGATAGTCAATCTCAAGAAGTCAGAGCTGAGCCCTACTCAGAATCTTGTCTTCTTAGGGGCGAACTTCAACACAGTGAGCGGACTTGTATCTCTATCACAAGACCGCATACTCAAGGTCAGAAGGGTTACTTCCCAGTTTCTTCTGGCCATGAGACACACTGCTCGTACATGGCTCCAATTACTCGGCAACATGGCGGCGACAGTGGATGTTGTTTGGCGGGCGAGCTTGAGAATGAGACCCATTCAACAAGCACTACGTCAACTTTGGGTGAACTCGGAAGATCTTGAGACTGTTCTCGAGACCCCGCAGTGGCTCATTACACACCTTCAGTGGTGGACCGAGGTCGGGAATCTGTCCCGGGGGCTCCCCCTCGACACTCCCATTCCGTCTCTCACAGTTCAAACAGACGCGTCACTCTCCAGCTGGGGAGGCGTTCTGAACGATCACACAGCCTCGGGACTATGGTCCCAGCAGGAGATCAAACTGCATATCAATATGCTAGAACTGAGAGCCGTCAGGTTGGTGTTCCAACGCTTCCTGGATCTGCTTCGTGGCCAAGTTGTCCGTCTAGAGATGGACAACCAAACGGCAATGACTTACATCCGGAAGCAGGGCGGAACGGTGTCACCGTCGCTTCTCCGAGAGGCGTGGCAGTTCCTCCTATGGTGCGACTCACACGATATCAGGGTGATACCTGTTTATCTCCCGGGGGTGGACAACGTCCGTGCGGACGCTCTGTCTCGCCGGATCCTCGCTCCTCACGAGTGGAGGCTAGACCCGGGGATATTCCGGTCGTTCCAGGTGGATCTGTTTGTGTCTGGGGTGAATCACCAGACACCAACGTTCTGTTCCCGAGTCCCTGACCCGAGGTCGGTGGCAGCGGACGCCTTCCAGCTAGATTGGACGGACAGAATCCTATGGGCATTCCCCCCAGTACCTCTGATCCCCAAGGTCCTATCTCAGCTAGCCACTCAGCCTGCGCGACTACTTGTGCTCCTGGCACCTCTTTGGCCGGCGCAGAGCTGGTTTCCAGTAATACTCAGGTTTCTGGCTCAGCCTCCTGTTCTATTACCTTTACGACCGGACCTTCTATCCCAGAACGAGGCCCTCCACCCGAATCCCAGGATTCAGTGGGTGGCTTGGCCACTGTCCGGAATCGCCTCCAGAAGAGCGGTATTCCTGCACGAGTTGCAGACACAATACTGGCTTCGCGGAGGGATTCGACAAACGTTCAGTACGAGGATAGATGGGCCTGCTATGCGCGCTGGTGTGTCGATAGAGGGATTGCAGATCCCTTTTCTGCAGATCTCGTAGCAGTGCTTGAGTTCCTCCAGTCGCGCCCAGATGAGGGCCTGGCCGCATCAACAGTCCGGGGGGTACTCTACAGCTATTGCAGCTTTTCACGTCCCTGTTGACGGGGCACTTCTGGGTGCGCACCCATTAGTACAGCGTTTTTTAGCAGGTGTGGACAGGATCCGACCGCCTGTACGGCGGATCAGTCCCCCTTGGGACTTGTCAATCGTTCTTGATTGGCTGTCCGGTCCTTCCTTTCGGGATCTGTCGTCTCTCTCTCTTCAGCTGTTGAGCTGAAAGACGGCGTTCCTTGTGGCGGTAACGTCCGGCAGATGGGTAGGCGACATTCACACAATGTCAGCCGATCCAGAGCTAACTGTCTTTCACCGGGACAGGGTTAGTATTCGCCTGCCGGACTCTTACCGTCCTAAGGTCGCACACGCCTTCCTCGTGACGGCTTCTATTGAGCTACCTGCTCTTTCACAGCCTTCCTCGTCGGGGACCACTGCAAGACATGCTCATGTCTTGGATGTCCGCAGGACTCTCAAGGCCTATATCAGCAGAACTAAGGGTATCCGTAAGGATAACCAATTATTTTGCTGTTATGGCGCTAGGAAGGCTGGCTCACCTGCGAGCAAACAAACTATCTCCAGGTGGATAGTCTCTACTATCTGTACGTCGTACACACTTCAAGGCAGGGACCCCCCTACCAGGTTGAAGGCTCATTCGGTTAGAGCGGTAGCTACGTCACAAGCGTACGCTGCGGCTCTGCCCATTGAGGAGATCTGCTCTTTGGAGCCAGCCGAGCACGTTCATAAAACACTACCAACTCGACAAGCACTCAAGCGAGCGTGCTCGGTTTGGTCAGTCAGTTCTCCGAACTGGGCAAAGTTCAAATCACTAGCCGATTGAGCCTTCGAGATTTTAGTTCGCCCGGACCGGTTATACAACTGCTCAGTAACGGTCCGGATTCTATCCTCTACGGTCGATAAATTATCCGTCCATACTAATCGATAATACTCGTATTGCACAGCACTCCTCAGATCCTCGGAGACTCTCTGGCCTAGCTCAGCACGGTTATATGTTTCTCGTGATCTACGCCCCTATATCACTCGCTAAAAAAAGTGTGGGGGGGTGGGGGGTGGCGTGTTTTGAGTTCTCAAAATATGATCAGCCACGAAGGCTTATATCATAGTATATGGTCGACCACGCCTGTCTCCAGCCCCCGCCTCTCGACGGTGGTGCCTCACGATCAAGGTTGGTTCCATTTTATTGAACTCTTAGTCTATTCACTGAATATTCAAAATACGATGTATTTATTACGCTTGCTGCTGACGGATGCCACTTCCTAGATTATCTTTAGGAGTCTGTCTGGATGCAATAAGTGCCCCAAGGAGGATTTAATCTGAAAGAGAATTTTACAAACCTGTAGAGGTTATGAATTCTCTGATGAAATCCTCCTTGGGGCACGGCCACCCACCTCCCCTCATTCCATCAGCATTAGACATATGGAAAGTGATTTGGGTGAGGGTTGCTTCCCTTGGCGTGACGCGCCGTGGAGGGTGAGGCACCATAAGGGTGGTCGTATATCATACAAAAACGAAGTTTTTGTGTGGTAACATTTTTATTAAGGAAAATGGTTACAACTATGTCATGTAGATTTTCTTGAGCCAGGAAAATGCAATAAGTGCCCCAAGGAGGATTTCATCAGAGAATTCTTAACCTCTACAGGTTTGTAATTTTTTTTTGTAAATTTCACAGAGGAGAGAGAGACAGGAAGGAAGGGAAAGTAGAGATTTCTTGACAAATCCCACCATATCCCATGTCAGTTGTTAAATGTTTTTGTTTGTTTAAAACTGCACCCAGCAATATTCCAGCTATATGACTGCAGTCTGTAAATAATCATGTCAAGACCAGACAATCCAGTGAATGATATCATGAGCATTGATCCACGCAATTGGGATATGATTACATACATCAACCAAGTCAGCGAGCCTGACCACCCAATCCCATTAGTCGCCTCTTACGACAAGCATGGGTTTCTGAAGACCTATTCTAATCCTGATCTTCACAGGTGAATTATGCAGTTTAGTTGGCTCATACTCTTTTCTTAGATATGTTGTAAAGCTTGGAACTAATACTAAATTCTATGCATTAATAAATGAGAAATGATAATTGCATGATCAGTTTCTCAATGAGTTTATTAATTTGAAGGATATATTTCTAAGTATCCAAAATGTATCCATGGACGAGAAATATTGCAATATTATTTGGAGTGTGACAAGGATATGTTGTCAGCTTTTGTATTATGTACTGTGTCAGACTGACATGTTGTGTTATCTTGCAGGTGTTCGCTACCACTGATAAACAGCTGAAACACAAGGTAAATCTTGACAAGACTAAGGTGGTATCAGATGCTGTAAATCATGAACTTATCCTGCATTACTCCATATTGCATTTACTGCTGTCTTTTGACAGAGAGACGAACTATGTGAGATCCAGCTGCTGAAGAAAGTTGTCCCAACAAGTACGGGAAGCAGCGCCCTCTCACAGTCGGCACGTGACCCTGAAGTCATGATGTCACATCAAAACACATTACTGCTTTGTGACCTCCACAGACAGACGTACTTTGTATCCCTTGTGGAAATAAAAGCTTATTGTTTCTATATTTTGCGTGTTTCTCCATTCATCGTGGCTGCTACATCGTTACCTGGTTATGGGCTGTTACCTTTAGGGTCTTCCCATTTGTAAATTGTAACGTTTATCGCTCGTTTGTGGCTCTAGTCACAGTAATTTACGGGCGCAATGTTGTTCCCGCCATTTTTGCCATTCACCACGTTGCCACGTAATTTCGTGTTCTGCATTTTGAATTCTTTCTTTGCCTTGGGTAATACATTAAATTTATGTATAATGTTTATGCTTAAAGCTTTGCCTTTCCGCTACCTTTTGAAGCGCCATGCTTTCGGAGAGATGACCTGCGGGTTTCCATTGAAACAGAGCTTCTGGTGTACAGCCTCTGTATGAGAACTGGTAGATCTTCACTGTTCAGGCTCATCAAGCCTGTTTGACCTCTTCATCATAGACTACCGGGTACCCACTTCTCGGGATCATGGTTGACTGGTCTCGCATATCACGGTGGATCATATCGCTCTGCACCGGCCCTGCCTCAGCACCAGCGTTCCTCAAAGAGACTCTTCCTCGGCGCTCCCCGTGTTTTCAACGGCGCCCCCGGTGCTCCTGCATTTTTTTTCGCAAAACTCAACTAGTACACAACTAGTTTGTCTACGACACAGTTTATTGGGGATTGTCTGTGTGTGGAGATTGCAAATCATTTCCAGCTCCAATGCGGCTTTCTCGGCTACTGCACAGGGTGATTTACATGTCACATGTCAAGTACTCCGACTGTCAACAACTCAGACCGGAATTAGGTCAACTGACCATGGTGAGTGGTGCAATGTATTTCTACAGATTGGTTTGCATACTTACATGTATGCATGGTGCAACCACTCAACCAGATGCCTGTCGCAGTCCATCCATGCACAGATGATGGAAACGATAGACTACCGCTGCCACCACGGCTGTCGCGAGGCATCTCGTTTCATCGCCCCCTCACTATTAGAACATACGGCATTCAAGGGATGAAAATGATCGCCTTCCTTCATACGGTTTGATCTTTTAGACTATGACATCTTCATATCATCAGCCTTGGCTACCAGATACAGCGTCAATTTTCTACTTCGTTCCATGACCGTTCCATCGACCCCTGTTGACTACTTTCCTAGTATCGTGTTGTCGTCCTTCATCGCCACCTCAATATAAAAACAGGAGCGCTAATACGACGCTCAGGGGATGGAAACTATCACATTACTATGTGCAGTACGGTGCGATCTACCCGAACCACAGTTTTCCAGATTTCCTCATTCTCTTATGGACACATTGCCTGGACTTCAGACGACCCGGTTATGTCGATGCCTTGGCTGTCGATTGTGGAGCTGATATTTAGTCTACATGGGGTTTGGTTCTCAGGCGACCACACCTCTCCATGTATCGCCTCGACGGTACATGATCAGAGACCCCTGTTGCTGACTTTGCAGTCTTGTAGACGACCTCATTTACCATGACTTCCCGCTCTTCCACTGCCACTTCCACCTTGTCAGTGGCAAGTGTTCAGTGACTGCCCAAACCAGCCCACATTGTGACCAACTGTGATCTGGATATCAACACCATTGGCACAGCAACAACCTCGAGATAAAAGCGCTTGTCCAGGACGTCACTTGCTGGCAGATAATTCTCGGTTACGCCCTGTTGACCATGTCCATTGACAACATCGCCGATGGTGTGGTGTTTTAGGAACCAGGGTACTCTCCACTCTCCATCCCTGCTAAACCAGACTTTCCGCTTCCTCGACATGGTGGTCAGCCTGGATCTGTACGTTAAGCAAAAGGAGCTCATCTTGCATTCACCAGGTTGAGGGCAATTTCTGGCACAGGCTCTGTCCAGGCCTAACTAGGTGGCTCCCACCGAATGGAAGCTCCACGCAGAGGTCTCGCCAGACTATGTCAATCGATCGACACACCAAACATCGATCTGTTCGCCACATCTCTGAACTGCCAGCTGTTGCCTTACATTTCACCGGTGCTGGATCTGGCCGCTGTGGCAGTCGACGCCTTCAGTTTTTCCTGGGAAGGATTACACGCATACACTTTTCCGCCTCCGGTGCCCTCTCCCGCGGTTCTCCAAGCCACTCGGCATCTGACACTGATTTTGGTGTGTTGGTCAGACCTCCAAAACATCGCCAGAGACAACCTCTGGAACTTCCAGTGTGGTCCAACCTTCTGCTCCATCCACACAGTCGGTTGACACACCCTAAAACGGTTTCGTCTGCTCGCCTGACACATCTGCAGGAAGCCCCATGAGCCAAGGGCTATTCGGCTAGAGCGGCCAAGGCTATTGCTTCAGCCCACCGTCCATCTACCGCTCATCTACAGTTCCAGGCTCAGTTCCTTCTGTACTTGTGCAGCACCCATCGGTTGAAGGGCTCTACCATCTCCACATACCTGGTCGCCATCAACTCCGTTCTTGCCATCCTGGACAATCGGAGAATGACGAAAATTCCTGAACTACAGGCCTGGCTGTGCTCGTTCAGTCTTGAAGACCAGAAGGCCAAGTTCAGACCGCCTGCGTTGGCTCCCTTCAAACCACTCAACACGTATTCCTTTTACAACCTAAGGAGGAAGACGGTGTTTGTACTGGTTTCGGCTACTGCCGCTCAGGTCAATGAGCACCCTGCCCTCGACGTCCTCCGTGTCTGGTTCGAACGCGGTACTCATCATGGACCCTGCTGGGACTTCATCGTAAAGAATCAACTCCCAGGAGAGCCTGATAGTTCATTCATTATCCCCTACCCCCTCGTCCATTGTGGGTGCCAAGGATGAGGAGGAGCGTTGTTATGCCCAGTAAGGGCACTGAAGATTTTCTACAATGATCTAAAGCCTGACGCAAGTCTAGGAAACACCTTTTTTCTGCCGGTCTGCCCTTCGTCGCAGTCGTTACTTTTCCCTGTGACCCGGGCGGTCATCCTCCAAACTTATAAAGCCACTGGATTGGACCCTCCCCACAAAGCTATCAACCCACAAGAAATCAGGGCGATCGCATTTACCATGGCTCTTTACAGTATAACTCTTCTATCCAGTCGCTCATGGAAGCCTGTTCTTAGCGATCAGACACCGCCTTCGCCAACCACTACCTCTGTGATGTAGCCTTGGAAGATGTCGCTGGCGTTCACAGTTTTGGTCCCTGGTTGTAGCCCAACAGGTCACTATTACTGACGCCTCTGATTCTCCAAAACCCTGAGCAGGGCCCGTCAACCTCTCTGGTGTTTATCACCCCAGACAAGACGGCTCTCTTGCGTTCCGCATTCGCTCTTAGGTCAGTTTTAGTTTTTGGCTAACCGCCTCATTCTATTTCTGTCACCTATCTGGGTTTACTTTTTGCATCAACTCTCGTTAGTATAGTAGATGTTGACACTCATGCCAATGCCGACACCCACGCCAACGCCGCTGATTCTCCAATACCCCGAGCGGTGCCCATCGACCTCTCCTGTGTTCCTCACCTCCAGGCAAGAGAGCTCTCCTGCGTTTCGCATTCACTCTTGGGAATGGTCGTAGATATTGCCGCCGATGTCGCTGATTCTTCGATACCCCGAGCGGGGCCTGTCAAACTCTCTGGTGTTTATCACCTCAGATTAGAGGGCTCTACTGCGTTTCGCTTTCACTCTTACGTAAGTTCTAATTTGGGGCTACCCGCCTCATTCTATTTCGGTTACCTATTCAGGTGTTTCCTTTTTGCATCGACTCTTGATTCCTGAAGACAGGAATTGTCGTAGATGTTCCGGTTATCACTTCTATTTGGTGCGGATTCATTGGACCTTGATGTGGGTTTATTATGGATCACATCTGAAGGTATGCCCACCGGCCATGCCGTCTGATAAAGATGCAATACGGAGTAATGCAGGATAAGTTAAAAAAAATGTAAAATCTAAATAATTTTTACATTTGTATATTTTTCCTGCATTACGAAGTCTAAGTGCCCTCCCCTCGCTATGCTGCCTTGTCAGGAAGTTTCAGATGTTATGTTTTAAGCAGTTATGTGTTTTGATGTGACGTCATGACTTCCGGTTCACGTGCCGACTGTGAGAGGGCACTGCTTCCTGTACTGGTTGGGACAACTTTCTTCAGCAGCTGGATCTCACACAGTTTGTCTTTCTGTCAAAAGACATCAGTAAATGCAATAAGGAGTAATGCAGGATAAGTATACAAATGTAAAAAATATTTAGATTTACTAAATTCACCAAAGGGCCTAAAATGAGTAGCCCTGCCCTTGAAATTTAAAAACTCATGAGCAAATGACAACACCAAGATTGTAGACTTTCCAATTTCCTGATGTTATATTGTGTGATAGCAGTTTGTTTGTATAATATCATGAGCAGTTTTATGTATTCACCGCCAGTCAACATAAACAAACTGCAGAAAACATTTCCCCATTTATAATGTCAATAACAACACGACAACATATAAAAGAACAACATTTATTAAATTTTTGGCATATGGGGATTCTCGGTATATACATATATACATGACACATAAACATAGTACATGGAAGACTAACTTCAGCCAAGTCTCTAATATCGGAGTAGCGCACTCCATACTGTTTGAGCGTACTGAGACTTGGCTGAGTATACGAACAATGGACGGTGAAGAAATATACCCGATCGGCGGGCTGTACCTCTGCCAAGTAATACAAGTAGGAGTCGCGCACCCCAAGACTTGCTCCCGAGCGCCAGGAGTACCTGGCAGAGTAGACGAATGATGAAAAAACAAAAAA